ATGTATTACTCGAACCAAGAGCTTATAATTGCTGATGCCCTCGATTGAAGCCTGTTATCGCAACGATTTTGTTGTTTCCTTTCGAGAACTGTGATGCACGATTACTATCAGTCGACGTAACATCTGCATTGATTGCTGCAAAGACTTATTAAATTAGGAAATTATATGAAGCAGATCTTCAGTGCTATTTGAGTTAAATAAATTATATTTTTATATGTACTGTAAATACATATGTACAAGACTTGGTTGCAAAATATTAGCATTTAACTCGATGGAAATTGCAGCATAAGATAATTCTATGAAAACTTCATTTTTATTGTAAAAACAGAATTTTAATTGTTTACGTTAATTGATTTATAATAAGGAATCGATAGGACAGTTTTTATTGAGGTTTGTGTTTTTGAATATCGTGCAAGCAATTTGGGTTAATATAGAGCATTGCAGTAGACGTTGAAATATCTCTTCGAGCACGTTTTAATACCACTACAACGGATAGCAGCGTAACTTATACACGGGCTGCATTACAACGTTCCACGTCATAAAGAACAATTTCTACGAATCGAGAAAAGAAGGTGGAGGTCAAACAGATCAGCAGGTACTGTCGTGGGAGCGAAGGAATATTACCTTCATTATTGCGCTATCTTCAAAAGTTGATAAATATTCTGCATAATAATTGAGATTAAAAAATAATAGTTATACATAGTTATGATATTTTGTAATATCGTAATTAAAAAAGAATAGAAATTGTTCTGTTTATTTCGTCGCGTGCTACGTTTCCTGATTTCCTCAGTAATGACACCTGCGTGCATCGTAGAGGAAACGACAAATTGTACGATGCGCACAGATTTGCTATCGTTAAACGCTTCAAATTCACTTTTCAAAGAGATTCTCTCAAAAGTGCGATTTTTAATCCTTGACATAGTGAATCGTTTTCAAGACATGACATTCAATGTTGCAACTAAATTGGCCATTATGAGTGGAAGATATTTTACAAAATAACAGAAACGAACCAAAGAAATGATATTTTAATGTAAATTTAATGGAAACGTCTCCAAATGTTTCAACAGTCTGAGTCTTATGTGTTATTGTCTCATGCGGCACATATTTCACGAAGAAACTCCGTCTGCAACAAAGGAACAAGGTTGTGCAGAATTCATTTGACTTGCACGGTCACATGATAATCATTGAATTGAATTGAGCCTAGAACGGTGCGCGTTCGATTATAATTTTTCATCGCATGATATTGTCCCATATTTGTGAAACAGATTTTATTGACTGTGCGAAAGATTCATGAATGAGAATTTATTTCTGGATGCATTAGTCTAATTGTCAATTAAGGAGATTATGTTTGTTCGACGAATTAGTACGTAATAGCCTAATCAGTCAATTGTTAGTACAATTACTAACATAGGTATTTGTCCTCTTTAATTATTCAACAAATCAAAATAGAACTCTATTTATGTATTAATTAAATCCTTCGATTTGAATCACTGAAAATTGATAAGGAGTATGAAATTTGATTTCTGTGTCACGTTTCACATAGCCGAGTGCTTCAGCCAGGTTCTTGATTGATACGCAGTTCTATGAGCGTATCCTATGTAGGTTGAAGCCCTACAGTTTACAGAGTACGGAGTTCCACAGCCGTTTCTGGGACACCAGTTTTCAAGTTTGCGCGCAATAGTTTTGAAACGCGGAACCTGGAAGAGCGGCGCGTTCGTTTCTGTAACTTCCGGCAACTCGGCCAAACGCAATTTTTCACTCTACAGTAATTAAGCAATAGTGTTTAACAAATGAATCTTCTCGGGAAAATCAATGAATGAAACGTAACTTCTAAAAGAAATAATTTTTATCCTCACTCCCAAGCAATTAAAAGAGCAGAGATGATCAGATTGAATTTATTTATGGTCCTCAAGACTGCCTCTCGTTTTTAATGTGTACAGTTGATACTTCATGCTCGTTTATTGTATAAGATATGCCAAGAAAACCGTACGATGAAGCAGGTACGACGAACCGAACGTTTTTAATAGCTACTTAATAATGCTTATTATTTCACGAAGGTTATCTGTTTTTCTATCATGATTGATTTGTTTGGTAAACGATTATTGAAGCTAATCGATTATGTCGCTTATCCATTGTCCCTCACAACCAGTCGGAACTAGTTTCCTCGTTAATCTTCTGCACACGTTCCTTCGTTTTACCATTTTTTTATATTAACTGCATTAAATTAAATTGTAATTATAGATGTAAGTGCTGAATGCAATTTTTATTTCATTAAGAGAATCCAATTCTTCTCGTTATACAATAAGTGTTTAAATTTCAAGCTTGTAGGAATGCAATGAAAAGAATATTGTTTATACGCTGATATGTTAATTCAGATAATTCAGTGTATAAACGTAAAATAAAACGTCATTGAGACACGTTTCTAGACATACAGTGAGTGTCAAAAGTGAGTATACACTTCGTGAACACGACATTTATTTAACAATTACTAGATATATATTACATTTATGAAAAAGTTATTTGAAAAACATAAAGTGTACATTGATGCTAATTAAACGTAAAAAATGTAATTATCAATCTAATAAATAATATTTGAGATACAGCATAAAATAGTTGAGGATGTGTAAAAATATGTACACAACTAATTAAGAATGATTTATCTTCGTTTATTAATAAAATTACGTACATTTAATACTTTGTTGGTCCACCTTTAGCCTCAATTACGGCAGCTAATCGTCTTGGCATGGATTCAACTAACTTACGTGTTGTTGAAACAGAAATATCGTTCCATTCGATTAGTAGTTCGATTTTAAGGTTTTCCCTGTTCGTAATTTTTATTTATTTTTTACAAATCTAATATTTCCCTCAAATTCTCTATCACTTTAAGGTTTAGGGATTGTGGTGGGGAATTCAGTTGATTTGGAGCATTTTATTGCAGTCCTTAACAATCTTTGCTGTATATTTAGGATGTCGATTCGTTTCTTAATTTAACAATAGGTTTCCTCATGTCTCCTGAACGTTTTTTACTCGTAATTCTATTTATGTTCTTTTCTGTACGTTTTTCATTCGTAATTCTATTTATGCACTGAGAATTTCAAAGTAATCAACACTGATTACACGAATTCACGCTTGTTCAGAAATTACTGTCTATGTAAGTGCTGAATGCAATTTTTATTTTATTAAGAGAATCCAATTCTTCTCGTTATACAATAAGTGTTTAAATTTCAAGCTTGTAGGAATGCAATGAAAAGAATATTGTTTATACGCTGATATGTTAATTCAGATAATTCAGTGTATAAACGTAAAATAAAACGTCATTGAGACACGTTTCTAGACATACAGTGAGTGTCAAAAGTGAGTATACACTTCGTGAACACGACATTTATTTAACAATTACTAGATATATATTACATTTATGAAAAAGTTATTTGAAAAACATAAAGTGTACATTGATGCTAATTAAACGTAAAAAATGTAATTATCAATCTAATAAATAATATTTGAGATACAGCATAAAATAGTTGAGGATGTGTAAAAATATGTACACAACTAATTAAGAATGATTTATCTTCGTTTATTAATAAAATTACGTACATTTAATACTTTGTTGGTCCACCTTTAGCCTCAATTACGGCAGCTAATCGTCTTGGCATGGATTCAACTAACTTACGTGTTGTTGAAACAGAAATATCGTTCCATTCGATTAGTAGTTCGATTTTAAGGTTTTCCCTGTTCGTAATTTTTATTTATTTTTTACAAATCTAATATTTCCCTCAAATTCTCTATCACTTTAAGGTTTAGGGATTGTGGTGGGGAATTCAGTTGATTTGGAGCATTTTATTGCAGTCCTTAACAATCTTTGCTGTATATTTAGGATGTCGATTCGTTTCTTAATTTAACAATAGGTTTCCTCATGTCTCCTGAACGTTTTTTACTCGTAATTCTATTTATGTTCTTTTCTGTACGTTTTTCATTCGTAATTCTATTTATGCACTGAGAATTTCAAAGTAATCAACACTGATTACACGAATTCACGCTTGTTCAGAAATTACTGTCTCTAGAAAACCACTTTACTGGACTATCTTTCATAACAGACTAACTACTTTTGCTGTGTACGTTCACTTTTGACGCGTTCCTCAGGAACCCACTTCAATAGATTCGAAGATAGGTGTTTGGTCTTTAAACACTGTAAACGTACTTCAATTATGTGTGTGTACATACGATTGTGACAGTAAAAATATCATGTACTACAACATCAACTTCAATTTTTGCAACGTATGCTTTAAATATAATGTAGAATCTCATATGTATGGAGTGTATATTCATTTTTTACTCTCACTGTACGCGTGTCTACAGCAAAAATATTTTTAGGCCACAGAGAAGGTGTGTTCAATTGATATCGTTGAAATGGAAATGCGTAAGAATGAGGATGATCAATCTGGAAAATGTTAATCACTTCTGGATTTACTCGTACTCTCTTTCAATGCACATTACACGTCGACGTTCATTGGCATGAAATAAATGTTTCCGTGATGCATAGTAATTTGAACGTCGGGCTATGTAAAGGAAGAGAACAATTTTTTCGATGCTTCGGAAATCACTGACGCGTATAGCTGGTATCATCGTTTTATAGTGAATGACTGAACGAAGAATCGTTAGCGTTAAGCTCCTCGCAGTTGATAACGTAAATAGAAAGAATTACAAGCAAGTTTAAGCCTGAGGGACTTGGCTAAAATTCGTTTGCGTTCTTCTCAGAGAATTTAATACCTCGTATTTTATTAGTCGAGGAATTCGTCGCGCATCATTCGTTTATCGGTTCCTTTAAAATCGACGCCTCCGTACGTTTCTCGGTGGAATCGTTGATTTTTTGGCAAATCGACGCACCTTTCCGCGAGTGCGGAAAGAGGAAGAGGAGAGCATCGAAACGCGGGGCAGTCGAATGGGAACGAGAAAGAGAACGCGGGTGAGGTAGGGAGAGGGCGTTTAAATACGAGGAGAGACGCGCGTGCTCCTTCAGTCCGGCGCCAACAGCCCAAACCACCGATTCATATCCGGACACCGAAGAGAGAAGGGAAAGGAATTCTCGCGGAGACGAATAAAAGAAAATCCAATAAAAAACAAACGGAAAATCGATCGGCGAGCGTCTCGAGCTTCCAGGAGTCCCGTGTCGCCTCTGCAGAGAATTAGGAGTGAGGGCCGTTCGTAGGAGAGACTAGAGAGAGAGTGTGTGCAGCGATGTGTCAGTGAAAAGTTGTGGCGCGAGAAAACCAAGAGGTAGAAAACCCAGAAGACTGAACGAGGAACAGAATGACAAACACCATGAAGCAGACTGTCATTAAGTAAGTTTTCATTCGTTTGATAATGAAAGAAAGAAAATCAACGAAAATTGAAGAGAAAATTTTATGACAGAGAGATTGTGTTGTAGAAAATTTAACAATGTTATTTTATTAGCTAGCATAGATGTTTTGTAGGGTAGCTTTGTTGATGTTCCGATTAAAGCACACTTCAAATCACGTTGGTAGAATTTTAGATAGGAAAGACAAACGTTTACTTCGCTGCACTAGATCCAACCACCTTATCGTTGATAGCGACGTATCAGAGCAATTAAAGTAGTAGCCGGCTAGGTTGTTATCGCGAAACTCGCTATTATTCAGTCATCATTTACAAGAACTTGTAAGTGCAGTAAGTGCACGGCGGCGATAAAATCGAATGACTCCACAAATAAGCAAAGGCCGAACAATGGAGTCATTAAAATGAGGAAAAGAAAAATTGGAAAGCGAACCTAGCTTATCATCTACGAACGTTTAATACTCGCTGGCCCGTTTAATGTTCGCCGATGATTTTGACGCCGAGCTAAAAAAAATAATCACGACATTCACTTGCGTACGATTCGAGATTAGATAGAGTTATAAATAATGATCGTCTCTTAAACAGGTTTCGAAACTCGCATTATCCGCGAGCATGGCTTACTGTTTTTACTCGAATTTGCTCTCACGAACTCTCAGTTATCTCGTTAATCCTCCTAATTTGGTCGTAGTTAAGAGTTTTTTGTTGAAAACGCTCGCCGCACGGGGCAGATGTTGGCAATCGCGAAAGGAGATAATGATCGATTATTATCAAGACAGAACGTGTTAACGAGCCGCGAACACGTTAAAAAGCTTCGGCTAAATGGTTAATTCAGTGATATCATCCTCAGCGTTTTTACAGTTCGCATCTTCATCAGGGTCTTGCGCATTGACCAATTAACTTAACTCGATCTAACGTCTTATATAAACAAAGTGTTCGTCCCTCCTCTTCGAGTGAAATCTCGTGATTTCAATGCACGCCGGGATTCTCGTGATAAAACACGCCGTCCAGGCGTTGATGTTACGCCGTGGTTGTCGTCATTGTAACCGCGACCTTTGCTAGGCGAACCTTTAAATTCATCCGTAAGCCCATCCGCGGGTCGTCCGTTTTCACCCGAAGAATTTCAAGGTCGTACAAATCGTGCTTATCGGCTACACCTTATGCTCTTTCAAACTCCCACTCACTTCCAACATCTATTATAATAAAACAATTAAGAGAAAAAATGATAATATCGTTTGATCCCAATTTTTAAGTCCAATCCTTGCCGTCGTACCTCTTGTTTGTAAAACAGTCAGGGATAAAGGTTAATGAGAACCAGTAACACTTTCAATTAGATCAGATCTTCTGCACTCCTTCGTCTTCGTACTGCGGGGGAAATCGGAGCTAATGGCAACTACCGGCTCGTGGCTAACACCGGTTCACTTCCTAGTTGACAAAACCAATTAGTGGTACGTTACTAACGATCTTATCACGGCGAGAGAGTATGTTAGGTCCCTGAGGGTTCGGCATCCGTCTAAATTAAACGACGCGTTGCGATCGATAAAAGAAAATGCCCACTTAACGAAATGCATAAAACGATCTAAGAGCGTTCTCAGATTTCTTGGATCCGTTTCAAGGTCGACGATTTACCTTGACACGTTCGCTTCGTTTATGGGGGATAAATCGATTCGGTTTTATACATTTGCATATACGTACGTGTTTTATGTTTACCGGAACGGCTGAGGTAATCTGTTGATTTAAACGCGTTTTACGGCCCAGTTTGTTAACGCGACACGTATTTCGAAAAGAGGAAACGCACGGTGAACGTACGCGGCGACGTACGCATTGATCGGGTCTTAAATTCGAGCCACGGTGAAAGTTCTACACAGCAAGTTCCATACTCAACTCTATTACACCCCGTGCCGCGGGAATGCTTGCGGGTATAGATCGATCTCGTCGAACGGAGCTTGACATTCACCGATTAACCGGCATCGTTCTTATCCCGTCGCAAATCTAGTAGAACTTATACTATATTAATATAGGACTTTTATTATCTTACTTGATCCATGTTTCAATCGTTCTCGAGTAGACTTGGAAAGGTTAATGATCAAAGAATGTACTTAATGTGATCGATGTTTAAGATAAAAATTAGATCGATTTTTGTTGTTGCTTTCTTTAAAGATATTTTAGGATCTTTGTAAATAACAATTACCTTGTATAGCTGATAATTTGTTTCTGGTTATCTCGTTTAGTGATTTCAAAGTCTAAAAACACGAAAAGGCTGAGATCATTCCATTTTGAAATATTCCAGCACGTATGACTTTCGAATTTGTATTTTGAATTAAATGTCATCTCTCTAATTTATATTTCATCATCAGAGTGAGACCCTCGGTACAATAAATAGATAAATTATTTTTTTTCTCTAATAGTGTTAAGTTCTTCGATTGTTCATTAGAAAAAAATTTTATATTTCTGTATGCATTAGACGTACACGATAAATTTCATCTCTCTAATTCTTACTTTCATCCTACATCTTACGATTAAACTGACATCCTCGACAAGAGTGGTAAATGATTTTTATTCTCTCCTAGTTGTGTTAAGTTTGTCGATTGTCCATAAGAAAAAGTTTGTATTGTCTCGGTTCAATCGGTTTTCCCACACGAGATTTTCTCAGGCTGTGAAATGAAGTATGTAAAAAAAGAACTAATAAATGCAAACAAGGGGAAAGCAAATAGAAAGTGAAAACGTTCTTTGTTTTAGGATAATTACTATTGGCATTGTATGTAAATAAATTCTTTTCTCAATCATTCATCGATCTCATAATGCATAGAGAACAATCAGTGTTAAATCTGTGAAAGCTGTCACACCGAAAATGGATGATTAATTTAATTATTTTTTAATCACTAAAAGCACATGTGAAACTAATTTCAATAAATTGAAGTCAGCATGAGCGTATTTATAGCCGCGATATTTCGCAATACATAAATAGCGGTCAATAAATAAAATTCGGAGTGTGCAATCAGGCATTAAATTATGTAAAATACGATCTCTATCGTAGAGATCGGGGAGACTCTAGGTAAATATCGGTACAATAAATAGATAAATTATTTTTTTTTCTCTAATAGTGTTAAGTTCTTCGATTGTTCATTAGAAAAAAATTTTATATTTCTGTATGCATTAGACGTACACGATAAATTTCATCTCTCTAATTCTTACTTTCATCCTACATCTTACGATTAAACTGACATCCTCGACAAGAGTGGTAAATGATTTTTATTCTCTCCTAGTTGTGTTAAGTTTGTCGATTGTCCATAAGAAAAAGTTTGTATTGTCTCGGTTCAATCGGTTTTCCCACACGAGATTTTCTCAGGCTGTGAAATGAAGTATGTAAAAAAAGAACTAATAAATGCAAACAAGGGGAAAGCAAATAGAAAGTGAAAACGTTCTTTGTTTTAGGATAATTACTATTGGCATTGTATGTAAATAAATTCTTTTCTCAATCATTCATCGATCTCATAATGCATAGAGAACAATCAGTGTTAAATCTGTGAAAGCTGTCACACCGAAAATGGATGATTAATTTAATTATTTTTTAATCACTAAAAGCATATGTGAAACTAATTTCAATAAATTGAAGTCAGCATGAGCGTATTTATAGCCGCGATATTTCGCAATACATAAATAGCGGTCAATAAATAAAATTCGGAGTGTGCAATCAGGCATTAAATTATGTAAAATACGATCTCTATCGTAGAGATCGGGGAGACTCTAGGTAAATAAATAATCGATGGGGAGAGAGAAATAAAGTGATCAAAACTGGCGCCACGGTTGTTTACGAAAAGTTCACAAAAATAAAAGTCTACGCCGGACACACGACGCAGCCAGAAAAACTCTCCGAAATAAACTTAGTTTCAAGAAAAATTTACAATAAAATCAGAAAGGAATTGTACAATACCTGGCAACAATTTACGATGTAAAGAGCTTCTAACGACGGTGCAATAAACTCTTAACGAGACGTTTGTGTCGTGATAGTAATTATTTCGAGCTAACGCTTTTACGAACAGTGTACACCTGATACGTGATGATACACGGTTGCGATACAGGTACAGGCGAACATTATTGCGCTGGCCATAATCAACATCGACGGCGTGGTACGGTGCCATGCAGCTCGACGAAAATTTCATAATCGACGTTTTAATTAAATTCGTTCCTGTTTAATAAACGTGCCACGAAATAAACCAGCAAGTTCCTTCCACGAACTGTTCGATCTCCTACCTCCTCTCTGTCCCCGTAATAAAATAGCGAGCCACATTGGTTTCATTTTCTGTTCATTATTGCTCGTTGAATAGAACAAGCACACACATAAAAGGACATAATATCCGCTGATGCTTTCCCTGTTTTATTTTCATTCGCTTCCTTCATTTGGACGCGTATGATTAATCCAGCGTACGCTGCTTTGAAGTAAACGTCGCACGATTAAACGACTTTTTCAGAGATACGGGAAAACGTGATGTTTCACGTAGTATCTCTGGCAAAATTATATACTGTTTGTTTTTGAAGTAATTTCGTAGTAGGGAAATGTTTGGATAATTGATAACGTGAGATAACGAAGTTAATATGTACGTTTAACGCTCAGTGTTTATGCATAAAACGAAGGAACGTACTGTTAGAGTTGTAAGAATTATTCTTAGAGTACAATTGGAGCGAGCTGCGGTTTTTTTACCAAAGCCACGTTTTCGCTGCAGCTTTGTAACGGAACAAGTGAAAGTACTCAACTTGTTTCAAACGAACGACTCGGAGAAAACCTCGTGATCCTAAAATAAAGGAGAGTCAAAGGGATCCACGTTTAACTGCTCTTTAAACGTCGCGTCGCATGAATTATGAAAGTCGCACGGCGGTGTTGCAAGCGTTTCGCGCGATTCCATGCGAATCGAAGAATAATAAAACATACGTGTGCTGATGCGCCATATAAATGTTTATACCGAACACTCTGAGTGTATGTTTGTCGAATATT